TCAGTGCTTTTCTCTATGCTTTTACAGTAAGGGTATGGTTCATGTTGGTACCGTGCCCTTTCTTTCAGGGAAGTTGTTTGAGGTGACAAGAAGCGGGTTTCTTTTTTTTTGTTTTTGTTGGGGTTGTTTTTGTTGTTCTGTTTTTGTGTGGTTTTTTCTTTTTTGTTTTTTTTTGTCTCATCTGTTTAAAAAATAAAGTGCCTGAAAATTGTTTTCTTTTGGTGAAATGGTTTTTGAATTGTTTCCAATGAAAAGGTTTTGGCTGTAGAGTATCAGGATAATTGGTCAGATGTGCTTATTTACTCTGTTAAGTAAATACTGTGGTATTTCTTTACCATATGGTATCACATGGGGGTGGGCAGCATGGAAATGTCTATAGTCTGTTCAGAGAAGTAGCAGCTGGTAATGTTGCCACCTTCTGTACAGGTGAAAACTACTTGGATTCAGGTGTAATTCAGGTGCAAATGAATGCTGTAGTGTATTTTACAGTATTTGCACTTAATAGCATCCATTACAATTCCTTTTTTGTTTAGAGGTACAGTTAAAATATCTGAGTTAAATACATTCTTCAATCACTTTTGTAGTTGGAATTCTGTGGCTTGTCTTTCCAGTACTGATACAAAAGATTCACTTTTGAAACTCTTAATTGTACGGAATTGGTCTAGTGAGCTTAATTTGCCATTTAGAGATGCCCTGCCTACCCTTGTCTTTTGTGGCTGAGATGTATAGAAGACGCTGTGTACAGAAGCCAATGGGCTAATGGAGTAAGCTCAGTGTTCACCATCATCTTTGAAATTAAACCTTTCACAAAACTACTTCTGACCTGTGTTCCTCAGAAGCTTTGTCACATGTATTTATTCCTTTGATCACTTGCATTATTACTACTGTGCTAACAACATTGTTTCTGAAGCACCTTGTGTTCTGTACCAGCTTAGATTGTTAAAGAGGAGTCTGCTTGAGTTTTGTTGTTTTACACAAAGAAGTGATAAAACTGTAAGGCAAGGCTGTAAATAACTTTATGCATAGCTTTGGTGTTCAGGAAGTTTGCTCATTTTAACTTCCAACCATTAACGTGCCTCTTGACATTTTGGAGACAAAACATAGAAGCTGCTAGACAGAGCTCTCTCTGCCTCCCTTCAGCAGGTCCTTTAAAGAGTGCTTGAAATCTTACTTGGTGAAAAATCCCCCAGCTCAATTTCAGATTATTTTGGAACTGCTTCTCATAAACCAAAGTCATCAGTGATCAAGTTATCAGTGATAACGTGATCAGTTAGGAAGCCTTATCTGAAAGTTGCAGAAAAAAGTTACATGAGCATGGCCTGAACTATGCCAAGTTCTGGTTTGATCTGGAGTTTTTCCCAATCTCAAATAAGGCTGCTACCGTATTTTAAAACCAAACAGCTTAGATACCTCCTCTGAACTACATTTAACAATATGGGATGGAAAATTGCCTCTGGAGCCATGGGAATTGTGCAGTTTGATGTACTTGCGGAGACTTTACGTTGTATCCTTGTGAAGTATGATTGCATGCCATCGGTTGCTTTCATCCAAGGTGCTGGAGCATTAGACAAAACTTAATTGAAATTATGTGAGCTTGGCTCACTTGTTGAGACCACAGCAGTGGGAAGAGGCCCGGTCCTCTGTTCCACTCAGTGGGAAAGTAACTTTAGGTTCAGACAGCGGTGCATGGCCTGATAGTTTTGCACAGTAACTGGAATACTGAACTGGTACCCAACACTTTGATTTTGTTCACACCTTTACAGTGCTGGCAGGTGGAAAAGGTGCCTTTTTTCCTTTGGTGACTGAGTGTTCCATGTAGAGAGTGAACTAAACATGCTGACCTCTTCTGCAGGGCACTGAGACCTGTATGTGAAAAATGCTGTCTAAGACTTTTTTTGATAATTTAAATGCACAGTGATATATAAGCCTAATCTTCCTTTGTTCTGGAGATGGTCCAGTTTTCTTCTTTTCTACTGCTGTTGCATGCTGAGTAGACTATTAGACACTTGTCTGTTTCTTGTATACTGGTGTTTTACAGGAACATTGGTATTAGGCTGAGTACTGTGCTGCTTGCCAAGCTGCTGTGCTGGAAGTATATTATTGTCTCGTGTTATTCTGGTGTGGCACATCCATTGCCTAATGCACTTCGTTGATGTGATACATTTTTTTTTTGAGCTATTTGTATCTGGCAATCTTTCAGGATTGGAAAGAGAAGAAAAAAACAAGTGCAGTTGACTTGGCCAGATGTAGCTGGTTTATTCCTGCATGCTGATCTATTTTAAACCACGGAGTTGTCTTGTGGTGCTGAGTGGTCTCTGAATGTTTGGAAAGATGGCAAAAACTACATTCTCTTGTAGTGGAAAATACTGAGAGAAGATTTAAAATCCTTACAACATACCTGCGATTAACACACCTGTGTAGCGTTTCATTCTGTTCTTCTGTGAAGAATGAACATAATTTGATGTTTTAGGTTGATTTTAAAAGGCTCTGCTGTTACAAATGCACAGCCTTCATAATGCTGCCTTATACACTGTTCTTGAGCTTCCTGAAAATGCAAACCAATGAAGACTTTTAAAAATTCCTCTTAGCGAAGGACCTAAGTTGTAACTGACTAGATCTGCAGCAGGAGGAAACCTTCACAGCTGTGTAATGTCATTAATGTATTTTTCCCATAGTACCAGCCTCTACTTTGCATTTTCTGTTATGCAGACTCTTGCTTGTTGATTGCTGGGAAACCAAGCAAAGAACTGATATATTTTTAAAGTTGGATTTTTTATATCAAGGTCTGGTTTAAGAAATGTTGTGAGACTCTTTTGCTTATCAAGTCAGTGAATGGTCTTAGAGTAGTAGTCTTTAGAGTTTGTTTTCAAGTGAGCTTTGGAGGTGCATTGTCATCTGAATACTGTCCTGGGGGGCATTGCTTTGCCTGCGGAGCAACCTTTTTCTTTTGTCTCCATAGGCCTTTGACTGCCCTTGAATCACCTTCACTGGATGTGTCCTCTCTCTAGTGCTTGTAGGCAGCTACAATTACCCCTATGCCATACTGATTGTTGAGTCTTGACCCCCAGGGCTTCCATGTGAACCCTCTGGAAGTCCAACACTTCTGTGATCCTTAGAAGGGTACCTTCACAACAAGTGGAAAAGAGCATTTCTGGAAGTGCTATTGATACCGAGTCAAGGCAAGGGTGCTCCCATTCTTGTGTTCCCGCTGTGAGCCTCACCTCTGTCAAACTGGGTCACCATCCAAGGGGTGCAAGCACCTCAAAAGGGGAAAGTGCTGTGGAAAGTTACTGGCCATGAAGTAGTGTAAACAGCATCCAAGACAGCTACCCAAAAGTTTACTCAAATTTCAGATAAAATCAACTGGGATTTTGTAATACACTGATTTCCATGCATTCATTCCTGAACTCAAAGTATAGGCAAAATGCAAACTTTACACCTGGCTTTGACTACAGAATGAGTCTGCAGGGTCGTTTCCTCCTGATATCCCTAACATTCAGATGTCTCTTTGCTGTCTGTGATCCCTCCCTTGAGTACAGAGTGCAGCTGACACTTACTGGAAAGCACCTGGCTTTTCCACCTCACCTTGATTTCTGAAACTGTATTTCAATTCTGCAGTAACTCTGGTCAAGTATAAACTGATTATTTCTTTTTTTTTTTTTAAGAGATCATCTTTGGAATGCAGGAGAAAAAACAGGAGTGTCAGGAGAAATTTGAAGGCTGTTCATGTTCTTACTGCTGTGTTTAGCTGTTCTGGCTGAGAGGCCTGAGTCTCCAAACAATAGTATGATGTACTTTTGTTGGTTGCCTGACACTGAAACTCATAGGAGTATGTTTTGTAGTGATTTAACTGGACTTTTCATCATGCTGAAGAATGTTGATTTAAACAACAAAACCTCCCCAAACCTAAGGCCTTTATATCTCATTGTGTATCCTTCAGTGATTTGGAACCTCCAACTGCAGCTGTACAGATTGGACTGGAAAGATTTAGGATGTGGCAGTGCAGTAGCTTCCTGGAACACTCCAAAAAGCACATTTGTAACAGTATTTAATGTGCCAAGAGTGAACTTGGGAGCAGCAGCTTTTTTTATTATACTGTCAACACACTTCCTTGGGTGGGGAGAGTGTTCTGAGACTAGTTTAAAAACACTTAGCAGAGATTTCCTTTAAAAAGGCTTTTGTCACCCTAAAGCTCAGCCATCTCCCCTCTGTGCAGCCTTGCCTGTGTCAAGCTTCCCAAAGTTCATGGTTGTGCTGTGCGGGTCATTGCAGAAGGTGCTGGCACAGCTGGTTCTAGCTTTCTTTTGGAAGAGCCTCCTAGGGAGGATGCAGTTGCTGATGTATACAGTGTTCAGCAGCATGTCCGCTATGTTGAAGGGTAGCTTAAAGAAAAGGGAGGTGCTAGTAAGGGAGGGTGTCAGCTGCCTTTAAAATTTATGCCTGCCTAATGCAACACAATCAAAATTGGAGCAGAAGGAACGCGGTATTTTGCTGCTTGGGATTTCAGCCTAGGACCCAGAGGGTGGGTAGGTGGAGCAAGTACAAGGCAGTGGGAAACAATGGTAAAGGAAATCAGTCCACATCAGCATAAAAGCAGCGTGGGAGCAATTCAGCTTTTGCAAATTGCTGCATTAAAGAGTGAACAAAATAGTATTTTGGAACTCCACAGTGGTGTTACCAGCATTACTACTTACCAGTAATCTGAACCCAGCAAGATTACAGATGGTCCAATAAAAGTTCTGTAAAATTACTTTGACTTTGCAATGTCATTTTGTCATGGCAGCTGCAGTGGCAGTAGCTGGGTTAAGTGTATGCTATAGGCAAGATGGGAGTGTAGAAAAATACTTCTTTTTTTAGTAATGGTGAATTTTTTTCACTTTACTTGCACACCCCTTCTTTCTTAAGGTATTGTGTTCTTAAGGTAATTATGTATTTTTTGTCTCCCCTTCCTATGAAACTTCTTTCTGCTGTGTTTTCCTGTTACAAAAGACATCAATGTCTGGCTGGCTTTGTCTGCCACAGGTGGAAATTTATGGTCTGATTTTTCTGTATCTATTTTTCTGCAGTGCTGAATAGTTACAGGTATGTTGCCATTGATTAGTTAGTAGGTGCCTTTGGAAATAAGGCTTGTGTGTTTTTTTCCATTCCTATAGATTGTTGAGATGTTACCTGTGTAACAAGTCTTGTTCCCATTTGTTTTAAGGATTCTTTTCTGGAAGGTGAAGTCTAGCTCTGCATTTCTCTTTCTGCTTAACTTCCATGGAGTGCCCCCCACTCTGGTTATTTAATGACAATTTATGTCACTGTTCTGTTAAGTGATGGATAAACACAAACTAAGTTCTTTACAGGTCCTTGGTAGCAAACTGCTTCTACTGTAATTAATGGGATGTATGAGTTTCTCATATGGAGTTAAGTCATATGCATTCTTAACTGTTAATGAGGATAGATGACAAAGAGCCAACTCAGTGATTCAGCTTGCTCCTGAAGGAAGGGGACAGTCACTCATGTTCCTTTGTATTTGGACATGAGTGACTTTAATCGGGCAGATGGATTTAAGCAATAGTGCTAATAACCAGAGTCAGTTCTAAGCCATCCTACCCAGAGGTTCAGCAATGATACAGACTTTGGTTAGCAGTAGCGGGAAGGAGTAAAGAGAGAGAGCTTTAGTCTGATCACAGATCTTGGGAACGTTAGCTGAGAATGTGTTGCTTGTGGCCTGCTTTGTTGAGTGTACTGGGAAGGTATTGATAAGTTATATGAGAATGCTTTTATCTGTCTTGTAGAATGTTGAAGAGTCTTACCAAAACGTTCAAGTAACTACAGCATGTACTCAAAACAAGCAATCTCACCACCACAGTGAGAAGAAATTAAATGTCATTAGACCTAGCTTGTGGATGCCCCTTCATTTTTAGTCTCATAAAACACAAACCTTTGTTGTCAGCCATCTTTGATGCTTTCATTCAAAGCATTTTGTTAGCATTTGCACTCCCTCTGCCTTTTGAGGGCTTGCCTATAAATTGTCTTAAAAATCTAGGCTGTGCTGTCATTGCAGAGCAGGTGAGTTCCACTCCTTATCCTCTACTTCAGTACAGAGCTTTATATTCTGGTTTGCTTTGTTACGAACAATGTGTATGCGCTTTAGAAACAGTACAGCTGTAAACAAGTCTTACATTAGAGCTGTCTCTACTGAAGAGGGAAAATAAAACCCAGAATGGGTAAAGCTCACCTTATTATGAAGACGGTGGCTTGTAGGAATGAATGGGAAGTACTGGATGTAGGAGTTAGCATGGTTGTGTATCGCAGCTGAAAATACTAGATTGTGTTACTGCTGTCTAGCCCCTGCTTCTCATTTTATGAAAACCTGTTTGAAGTGACCCAAAGCTTAGTTGATCTGGTCTTGAAAGAAAGACTGAAATGCAGCAGAAAGTTTTCTAGTTACCTAATAAGCAAATAGGGGTAAGGAGAATCTATTCAAGGAGATGATTAACCTGGTTCGGATATGACCAGTTACTAAATCGGTACTTTCCCAAAGGTATTTGATAAGGGTATGATATATCAGTAGCTAATGGAAGTTACATTAATAAAAAGAATTACATCCTATGTGAACCTTATTTTGACTCGTAGGTGAAAGTTGTCATGTGATACGTGCCACAGGGCTCACTTCCTGAGCTGGTGTCACTGAGCAGGAATCGAAGGAGTGCAAGTCATGCACTGTGACCACCGAGAAGAGCTTCTGCCCTTGGCTGGGTGCAGGAGTGTCATGGTTTAAGCCCAGCTGATAACTCAGGACCATGCAGCTGCTAGCTCTCTCTCCCCCTTCTTCCTCCCTCTGCTTCTGCAGGGATGGGGAGAAGAATTGGAAGAATGTAACTCCCATGGGTTAAGAGCAGTCCAGTAACTAAGGTATAACGCAAACCACTGCTGCTACCACCAATAATAGTAACAGTAAGGGAAATAACAAGGGAAGAGAATACAACTGCTCACCACCTGCCAACTGATACCCAGCCCGATCCGAGCAGCGATCTAGCCCTTGTGGGTAACTGCCCTCATTTTATATACTGTGCATGATGTGCTGTGGTATGGAATACCTCTTTGGCTCATTTGGGTGAGGTGTCCTGCCTCTGCTTCCTCCCGGCTTCCTCTCCTCCTTGGCAGAGCATGAGACTCAGAAAGTCCTTGGTTGGAGTAATCATTACTGAGCAACAACTAAAAACATTGGCGTTATCAGTGCTATTCTGAGGCGGAAAGTCAGAAACATGGCACTGCACCAGCTACTAAGAAGGAGAAAAATGACTGCTGCTGCTGAACCCAGGATAAAGAGCCACTCACTGCAGCACAGGAGTAGGCAGGTGAGAGTAGTTGGCTGCAGGATGTCTGATATGCAAATGATGAGGAGTTTTTGTAAAGACAGGGGAGCACTGGTAATAAGTTCAAGGAGCTTTTTCCGCCTGCTTATCTTTTTGCCTTCCTCTGAAACATTGGGAACATGGTGAGGGAGAGAAAACTGGGGAAGATACACTTAATTTTGTGGTGTTCACGTCCTAGCTGAAACTGGGAATCTTTTTAGGGGCCTGCCCAGAGATCTTCTCATATTTGAGTTAAACTGGTAACTTGCGTTCAGGTCTTGAACTGGGTTCTCACTTACAAAGAAACTTTCTTCCAGGCTATGATTGCAGGGACTGTTTGGACTTGATGTGTCTTTTATGTGATGTAGGACATCAGTCCCTAAGATAATTTTTGCATGTGTCACTGCAACCCCTAGTGATGCATATAAGATGTTGGTGATGCCAGATCTTTTTCTGCCTCGCTGTAGCTCAATGTAATTTTTGTGGCTGTGGCTGTCATGTTGTAGAGTGTCCCATGTGGCTTGTGATGGACAGAGTGATGACTTGTGGTACAGGGTGTGAACTTCAACAGATCAGTACATGATTGTCTATGAGTAAGCAGGACTGGACATGATAATTCTGTGTCCTTCCTACATGATTTCACTATCAGCTTAAAGGGATCTAAGACAGGATTGTTACTGTCACCTTTCTCTGTGCCTACAGCATTGCATTTCTTTTACCTCTGTGTTTACTTTACGTGAACCTCAATGCTTTTGGGTGCAGGTTGGCTGAAAAATAGCTTATTTTTCCAGAAGACTAAGCTTTGAGCTGCTGTGACATATCCTGCAGCTGCCAGACCTGCCAGCAGTGATGCTGTGGGACTGCACACTGAAGCTTCCCAATTCAGCCATTGCTGGTGATTGATCAGTGTATGTGGACCAGGAAAATGCTGTTACGATTCTGGCTGGGCATTGGGCACAGCTTCTCACAGGAAGCAGCTTTTTTGTGCCTGTTGCCAGTGTTCAGCTTTGCTATGAAGTCTACAGTGTCAGTTCTTTTAACAGTTTATAGGCAGGTGTGGAAGGAAATACAAGCTGGACTTCTTATTTTATGCAAGATCAGAATAGGAAATCCATTAGTCTGGCAGAAAAGCAATCGGGAGTGTGATTGAAATGAAACGTGTTTTCACTAGTTCTGCTGCTAACAGACGATTCACATAAGTGAATGAGAGAGTTGATGCTAGTTTAAAAAGCAAATCGTTAAAGAGATACTGTGTAAATAATTCAGTAAGGGTGTCTACAGAGATGTGTTGATCTGTTACTGAATACTGCCAATGGGTAATTTTGCAAGTAGATGTTTTAATATAGTTTCTAAAACTCTTTAATCAGTTTTTAGCATGCCCACTTTTTTAAAAAAGAGATTATATTTGTCTTAAAATCTGCTATTCTCTTCCCCATGTCTACTCTAAAGCGTACTTGCAGAGATTGTTGATGCATTCTGGAGAGTTAGGGTTGGTGTTTTAAAATGGACTGGCTTCAGAAACAGAATTTGAAATTTAATAAAGGTAGCAACTAGTACCTCTCTCAAAGTTTGGAAGTTTCTCAAAATACCTCTGCAGCATACAGTCATCTTTCTTTTGTCACTTTTGTCATCTTTTGTCACTTACTTGGGCAGAACTGCCATCTGACAGGAACAACAGTGTTAAACAGCAACATTAGCAAAGAAGAAAAGGCCACCAAATGCTGAGCAGGATGTAGCCAATTTGCCTAAGAGATGAATTTTTCAAAAGGGTGGTCGACAGAAGGCATAAAGGATGGGGAAGATAATAGAAACTTCTCTGAAGGAAACCCCTAACAACAGGAGACATCCAGCTAAGTATAAAACTTGTGGCAGAATATAGGTGAGTAACCCGTCTAATGTAAGGCAGTTTGTATTTGTTTGCCAAATGGCATATGGAGGAATGTAGCTAGAGTAACTGCAATTATGTAAGCACACAGCCGTGGGAAATAGGAAGGGCAGAGCTGGTATTTCCCAGGTAAAACTTAAGATACCATCTGTGAAATGTCTTGATTTAATTACCCTCTGAACTTCAAGAGCAGAATTAACGAAAGTATGCCAAGTGATTCTGAAACATGGAAGTTTCATAACTGTGCCTGAATATGTAAGCCAGTATTACTGTCATTTCTTAAGCTAACATTTTGAAATCAGGCCTGCATGGGTCAATGTGTTCTACAGACTCTCCCCATCTTCCAGTGGGCTCTCTGGGGTGGAGGGTGCCCCCATCATTACCTACTTGCCTGCTTCTCACATTCTCCAGAACCTTTGCTTTTGCGGTCTGCCTTGGGTGGAAATTATTCCATTGAAGTTTGAACTGTATTGTTATACGGGGGTCCCTGTAAAGGTAGCTCCTTTGTCTTACTAATAATTAGCTTAGCAAGTTCTAGTGCAAATTCTTAAGTTCCCGCTGAGTTTTGGAATTTGTTTTCTGAAGTGACAGAGCTTACATTAGATTGTTTCACTTTACTTGTTTTTTTTTGTCAAGTTCCTTTGTTTGCTTGTGTTGTTCAGTAGCCATCAAAACAAAACATTTGTAGAATTATTATTTAAAAGCAAATCTTGGTATCTGTTTTAATGTTTAAAAAATATGTAGGGGGAATAAATGAGCATCAAGAATGGCAAATATCTGTCGTGTGGGCTAAGCAAAGGAATGTGAGAAACTTCATGTTCTCATTTAAAAATAAGGAATGTTTGAGGCATACCAGTAATTCCCATAACAAGAATCACTAATAGTTTTGTGTGCTAGCTGAACTTGAGCACTTCCAGCAGCTTGTTACATACTACTTGTCATCATGAGACATTCATTCACGTATAGTTTGGTGTGGTATTTGTGGCATTTTTGGCTGTGTAAATGATCTTATCAGCTGCCTTTGCCTCTTCAGTAAAAGTAATAGTCCCACTTGAAATTGGTTCTGCCAAGCTAGATGCCTTAACTGTTAGTGGTCTCTTTCAGCTGTCTGCTGAGCTGCAGGGGACCAGAGTCCAGCAAATTACTTTGGTCTTTTAGCATTTCTCTCCTTTGCCTCTCTTACACTCCCTATTTTTATAATGGTAAGGATACAGTTGTTTAAAGATGCCTTCAGAAATTATGTTAGTGCAGCAGGCATGAACCTAGGTGAACAATATTACTATTCCAATGGCATTTTAAAATAAAAATACAGAAAAGAAAAATAGCGCTAATTTCTTTGTAAGAGCTGAGTACATTGCATATGCTTTTGGGGTGATTTCAGGGATTGTTTTCCGAATGCATGTGCTTGAGAGAACTGCCTCTGTGTTTTAAGGAACTTTTCAAGCTAAGCAGACTGAAGTTACATGACTGCATTTTTTTAAGTTTATGTAAATTTCTTCCAATATGCCGTTTAAAAGAACCTAATTTTGAAAATGAATCTGGTTTGCGACTTCCCTAATTCTGAGAATGTGAACTTTCTAGACACTCTATTTTAAGAATAAAATTCCCTAGTGTTAGTGCATTTAAGTTACATTTTTAAATTTTGTTAAAAGCAGAAAGTGGAATATTGGAAATAAAAGTGCTGATGTGCTGATTCTGTAAGTACATTAAAAGGTCTGAAAACTAAATATTTATTTTCCTGATGAAACTGTGGTTATACAAACGATTAATGTTCAGATGAGTTTACGTAATGAAGAAATAAAGCTGTATATTTATCAAGTGTCCTTCTCTGCCCCAGAGTCTTTATCCCTACAGGCCAAATATTTCCAGTCTCACATTAGAGGATAAGGTCTGTAGACTTCAAAACTGCTAAGTGTTATGGAAGGTTGCATTATGGTCAAAGTGTTATCAGGTTATTCCTTAACAACGTGTTGTACTGTAAGAAAGCAGTCGTTAAAAAAGGCTGTGGGTTTTTTGTTGAAGCACAAGCTAATTGTTTATTTTGTGTGTGGCATGTGGGGTTTTTTTTATGCTTCTATTAAAAAACCAAACAAGCCTTAAACCTATTCTTTTCCAGTAGGTATGAATTTGTGAACTAGGTGTAACAGGATAAGACAAAATACTTTTCACGCTGCCATCAACCCTACTTGTGGATAGCTAACAAACAAAGAATCCTGAAATGCTAACAGTATAATGCAAACATTTGTTCATAGAAATGGGCTTCCAAGGGAAAACTAGGTACCTGATTAAGAAAACAGGTAGAATTGTAAAGCCCATTGAAAGCAAAGTAGTAGTGTTATATATGAAAGTTGGTTTAAAATGAATCTTTTAACTGTAGAAAAGTTCTGATCAGCACTGTTTCTGGCAGACATTACTCCTACTCTAAAAATAGTTTTACCTTATTGTAGTTTGTTTACCTTCAGATTCAAGGTAATTGATCAGTCAGTATGTCTTTGTGTTGAGGCTGTATCTGCTTTCTGACTGGTGCATCATTCTTTCTAGGATAGTAATTAAACTGCGGAAACTTCCAGAAAAAGTTTAGCATCTACTGTGGAGCTTCCTTGCTTGGTTATGAACAGAAAAGAAACCTTGAAGGCTGAGAGCCGTGAAGGATGTCTTAGCTCTTGTGAAACATTTTAAAGGGGGAAGAACTGCAAATGCTGGAGTCAGGGGAGGTGGGACAAAGGCCTCTCCACCAGCATGGCAGAGGCTGGGAAACGTGAGGATTTGCTATTTTGACCTGCTGCCTTTCTACTAGAAGCAGAAGCAATCTGTTGGAAGTAGTCTGGTTCCGGATAAAAAGCTTGCACTAGGTCCCAGTGCCTTGCAGTCATAAGAGTTTCTGTTTAAACACTGACAGAACATTTATTGGACTCCTAACACAAAAATAAAATGATGTCAACAAGTCAAGTGATAAATGTAAAGAATTGTGTGATTGTGAGGTTGCAGTTTTCAGGATGAGAGGTCTGCACTGTAAAAGGGAGAAAAAGTCAATCAATGCCCCAAGCTTATAGTAAATTCTTTTTGAGCCAACATTCACACAGAATTTTCTGGATTTTTGGAAGCATGTTTTGAAGCAGTAGGTTACTTCTTTCATTTAGGTTTTGGTCAGCATATTGAGCTACCTGGTCTGACTGAGTTCCAGTAACATCATCAGATGAGAGTGAGAAAACTGACTGGCAGTGAAATCAGAGAACTATTTTTATTATTGAAGAATTGATTAAATATAATGTAATATTCATATTCAGTGAATATATTTAATAAATATTGAGCCATGCTGTGCACAAGGTGTCTATAGACTTTGGTAGAATATTGTCCTAACTCCTGAACAGGGTACCTTCTATTTGCCATTTCTCATCTCTTGATAGACTGTTCTCATGAGACTGAAATGGGAATACCGGATTTTAAAGATAAGTTATTGAAATCAGTGTAATTATTGAAATGAGTATTTACAAAGTACAGATTTTGTGACACTTCCCTCAGCACCAGTTACAGCTGAGATGCCTGGCTGTCATAGTTGGGCAGTCTGATATGTGTACAAAACAGGATTGGTTTTACATATGCTTGATGTAATTTATAGTTTGGTTTATGGAGCAAAATGGCAGGGATATTTTTAATTTGTCTTTACCCATAAAATCTTTTGTGTCATGTGATTGCTGGTCCCAAAAGGAAGAGGGCCACTTAAGTTTCCATTAGAAAAGGAAGAGGATATCCCATGCTGCTGCTTATTTTGTCAGCACCTTCATAAATACAGAGCTTTGTAGCAAACATTGTAATATAAAATATAGGGCATGCGAAAATGGTCAGCATAAAGGCATTGACATTGAGTTGGGGAATGCTGATGCTGGAGGATGGTATTTCTGGAAAATGTGTACTTTAAACAGACTGAGAGGGAATATTTTTTGAACACAAAATTGATGGTGGTTTCAGATGTTCATCAGACACACAGGACAGAGCTGCAAGCAGGAGAACTAGTGGCTGACAAAGTGAGAACTGGGAAAAGGTAGATCAGATGAACTCTAATGAAGGGAAGCTTGTCTGTGTTGCATCTTGTGATGAATGGTGGGTGTTGTGTACTTTTGAGGCACCTAAAAACTCCTGTGAAGTGGCAGTGAACAAGAGGGTGCTTGTAGACCTGGAGATAAGGGTGAAATTGTTTTTCGGGAGTGTTAAGGTAAGGATAAATAAGATGACAGTGGGGAGATATGAGGAGAGATGCATTACCATCATGAGGGTAGAACTGGTTCTCCAAACCTCCATCTCCCTTAGTCTGAAGGAGACGCAGAAGGACAGCCTGAGCAAAGGAGCTGGTTATCAAAGTGTGCTACAGCCTGGACTAACAAAGGTGTGACTAAATAGTGTGAGGATTGCACAGGGGTATAGAGGGAAATCATATGGCAAAGTGAGATCCTGAGCGGGAATAGGAGAGACACTCTTCAAATGTGTTGGGATTTTTGAAAAGTATTTTCTGGGTGGAATGAGGCAAGGGCAGGGCTGATTAGTATTTGATTTTGAAGGAAAAATCATCATTCATATAAACATACTTCTCTGAAAAGTTTTACATATGTAGGTGGTGCTGCAGGCAAACTGGGTATGCCGGATAATTCTCTTGGGTTAATGATATTACCAGTGACACTTCATGATCCTGTTGTGGAAACAGTTGATTCATCAGGGTGTGATTTGCATGCAAATTGTAGCATAGGTAATTATTGTATTTAAAAGGAGTATGCAGACATATTGGCACCTTCCTTCCTTCCCACCTACCTTAGAAATACTTCTTGGTTAGAAAAATTAAAATTTTCAACACTAAATGTTGGAAAGCTGAACTTGATCACATAACAGTGACTTGGTCTGTCAAGTGGAGATGGTAGTAAAACTGAACTTAAGCAGCTGCTCTTTATATTTACCCCTTAACTGTAATGGTTAACCACAGCATGGTTTCTTGAGATAACACTTTATAGCGTGGAACCATCTTATTTGGTATGTTGAAATTACAAAGTCATATTGTTGTACATAACAGCTCAGCTATAAATTGCCGTAAGCATAGTGTGGTATGGTCAGTAAAAGCTCCCTGATCTGTATTTCACATATGGTGCTCTGTTGGCCCCCTATAATTTTTTCTTTCTGTTTTGTGAATATCCTTTCCAAAACACTTTCTTGACCTTTATTTTATTAATTAAAAAAAAAAAAAATCTGTATTTCTGTTTTGGTTTGTTTTCCTGTAGGCAGGATCATAAAATCTTAATCAAGTGAAAATGGCCTTTAGCAATCTGACATCAAAGGCTGTGCTACTGTATGATGAATGGATTAAAGATGCCGGTGAGTCATTTAAATCTTAAACTTACTAACTTTCAATAATTCTGAATAGCGATGCGTAGCTATTCCAGATATACTGTTTATCAACTTAAAGTATCTTTGTCTTCCTGTAAGTATTTCTAAGAATTGCCAAGTTACCTATAGACATTCTGAACTATGAAAAATAGACTATTTTGTGCATTTTAAAAAAGAAAAAAACTCAAAACCCATCAAGTTCATGGGTTTAACCTTAGACTTAATTAAGTGCAGACAGTGATTTCTGGCTTACCTGAATTGTACAATTTGCATTTTTCCTGTGCTTCTGAGTGCAAAGGCTTAATTCGTCTTCATTACCAAATAGTGGTGTTTTTCACTTAATTGAGCTAGGTGCATGGTATTTTGCTTTTCAAAGTAAAAAAAAAAAAAATAAAAACCTTGCTAAGTCACAGTATCTCAAAAATTAATCCTCAAAGTAATTGACACAGTTCTGTTTTGAAAAAAAATGTTAGTCTCTTATTGCACTTGGTAACAGATATGAAGCTGTGCTTTAATGTTGTTGTTCTGTAGTTTGAATACTTGCCAAAAAAAGATGAAGATGATCTCAAGTCTGGGTTAAGACCCATCTGTCACAGTAGAAGAGGCATGTTCCTCACTGTGGTAGGCACACAGTGACAGGGATTAGCTGACTCCTGGGGAAAACCTGAGAAGCAGTTAAGGTTTGGTAATAAAATTACAAATTTATCTTTTCCAGTACAGCTGAGAACCATTTGTCCTGTTCTGCAGAGCCACAGCATACAAGTGAGAAGGGAGTTTTATCAATATGACTCCTGGGGTGAAGTGGATTGGGATAGAGCTGGGTGATGGAGCATTTCTGCAGCAGTATACATGACTTCGGAATTTGACTTCCTTGTCCCCCTGCCTAGCAGTGCTTCTGTGTGGCTTTTCATGGCATACTGCTAGTGGTGGGATGTTGTTTTGTCAGAATCAAGCTGGGAAGACCAGTGGGAAAATTTTGGTAGTACCAGTGCAATGGGTGGATGCACAAAAAGCAGTCAGTTGCGAAGAGCTGGTGATTCTCTTGCAGTTCAACACATACAGGAGCCTAGTGATGTGTTTCACAATCCTTGTTGGTCTGTGGGCAGCATCACTGGGCACATGACAGACTGAGCAGCATTATAATATGTGTTTTCTTCCTCAACCTGTTTTAAAACTTCCAGTGGCTGTAAACAAAATCAGAAGGTATCTTGGGTGGTATGGTGCTTGAATGCTGTAGGTTGAAAAATCACAGACTTCAGACATTTGGCCATGAATTAAGCACTTAACAAAAATTGCAGTGGTATAATTTCACCCCCAAAATACAGCTACAAACCATGAAAGCATCAGTTTACTGAATCACTGGGGGTTGGACCGGATGACTGTTGAAGGTCCCTTCAAACCCAAACCATTCTATGATTAGTTAAGTTTGGGGTCATTCAGAAATTAATATGCCAAAAGTTGGTTTTTAGAAATTAAAACTAATATATAGATTTTTTTTTTTAAAGAACATGAAGCACGAATCTGTTCTCCTGCTTATGGAGAAATATGGAAGTTTTTGATGAGCTGGGACCCAGTGATGGGCCACAGAAGGGTGCATTGGTGTGGTGAAGCTTAGGAGTGCCTGCCAGCCTCAGCTGCAGGGAGAGGGAGTGGGGTGTACATAGGAGGAGGACTCTGCAATGCTTCTGTCTGGGGTAACTGGGAAAACATTTTTGCTGCTTGGAGGCTTGTAATATGAAAGTGTGTTTTATGGTGCTGTAAAGTGGTGACATGTCTGCACTGAATAGGCATAAAGCCTCAAATACTAAACTATGAATACCAATTTATGGGACAGAAGGCCTTTGAACTTTAAAATCCTTTTGCTTAGTATTTTTAACATCATGTGGCTTATAAAGTTCAAGGATCTTGCAAAGTGTGGCTGCTCCCTGTGACTTGAACCCATGAAATAAGGTTCATGCTTTTCTAGAAGAATGAAATCTCACATGGAAAAGCAGCCTCAGTGATCTGCTTGTACGCTGCCTTCTTATGCTGCCCTCTGAGCCCCGTTCATGTGTGAAAGCACAGCATTTTCATGGAGAGCCCTAGTCGTGCCACTTATGATTCTGTTTCTTCTGTTCATTGTATGTGAAAAGTTGATGCAGAGAAGTGTTGAATCCTACATGTGCTAAATCTTGTTATCCAGTCAGTATGGATTTGAGATGAATGGACTCTGAAACATGATCAGTTACAATAAAAAACCATGATCAGTGAAAATAAAAAGCTATTAAGAATTAATTACCTTTCTGTAGCTGGTTTAGGATTTAGTAAGTCCTGGAAAGATCTGATTTTTTGTCTTTTTTCCCTTCTTCCTCTCCTATAGATCCAAGGCTGGAAGGATGGCCACTCATGTCTTCACCTTTTCCAACAACCTTTATCATTGTAACCTACATTTATTTTGTCACTTCTTTGGGACCCAGAATCATGGAAAATAAAAAGCCTTTTGAACTCAGGCAGATAATGGCATTTTATAATTTTAGTGTGGTGGCCCTCTCTCTATATATGACTTATGAAGTAAGTATTACTTTTTTTGTAATGTATTTATATGTTTTGTGTTGCTAACTACTAACTTCTCTTAAATTTATTAACAAAATTCCCACTCTGCACTTCTCAAAAAGCTATTATTCTGATTGCTGTAATTATATTCCTCCAAGCAATATACTAGACTAGTTCAGATGATACTTGAAAAAAGGGAATAAGTCATACCTAGAAGGTAAGATTGTAAAACATCATATGTGTCATCATATGTAATTTACAAAATTAAAAATTCTCGTAATTTATTTAATTTCCCTGGGCTGTAGTAGGTGAAGCAGACTGTTTTCCTTAGTCTGTTGTAACTATTTCTGTCCTACCACGTAATAATCGACACTGATTTTTCAAACACTGTATTGGGTATATTTACTATCAAATAATCTTCAGATGGATCTGCCCTTTAAATGACAGAAGTTAACAAAATCTAATCTTCATCTTAAAAAACAAACCAAAACAACCAAACAACCCCCCCCCCAAAATAAAAAATTCCAAAACCCCACCAAAACAAACAAGAAATAAACCCCAAAACCAAACAAAACCCAACACCCCTCTCCCCAAAACCCAAACCATGAAAGCCTTTAGCATTAATTTTTCCCTACCCCAAATATAGCAAATATTTTTGTCTAAAAAGGAATGTTGAGATTTGCTGTAGTTCATTGCTCAAGCAAAATGTTAGACTTTGAAAAGCCTGATGAGTTTTATAGTGTTATGGATTGAATGACTTAAAAATCTTTGGTATAGACTGAAGGTACAACTTAGGTAGAATCTTTAATTTGCTGCCTTAATCCTTAAGATAGCTAATGTCTGCTGAGTTTTCTGCTTGGTTGGGTTGGGGTTTTTTGGTCGTTGTTTGGATTCTTTTGTTTTGGTGTTTGTGGGTGAATATTTGGGGGTTTATTTTTTTGTTTTTTTTTTTATTTTGGCTGGTTGTTGGTGTTTTGGTTGGGGATTTTTTTGGTTGGCTAGTTTTTTGGTTGGCTAGTTTTTAAAGTGCAGCTATTTAGGAATAATGTGAATGATATCTCATACATTTCTTTGGTGAAGCATCACTATGCTAGTACTGACCCTCTTTGTGTTAAATATGGCTGTGTGGCTATTTCAGGTTTGGCAAACTAGTAATGAAGTTGTCGGATTGCACCAAATTGGCAGGATACCTTTCTGTTAGCTTAATTTGCATAAGTTTCATCGTGATTTAACAATGAACTGTGTGACGTTTCTTTTAGCAGCACTTTAAAGGCAGTGCAGCAGCAGCTGCTTTGTGTCATGATTGTTTTGGGGAAACTGGTAGGCAAGATGTCCATGTTTGCTCTTTAGACTTTGTTTTGACAAATCACTGAACTTTTGTGATTTGGTGCCAGGTTGGTTTTGGTATAACCCTCAAAACCAAAGAACAATATTAAGCTTCTGTTAATGTCTGGTACTGACACAGAATTCGATTAGTCTGCTGTACAGACTTCCATGTTACAATTTCATGAAAGAATGCTTGGATTGAATGTTGATGGATTGAATTTCTGCTATCGTCTGGTGCTCAGCAAAAAGCTGATTCTTTCCCTCTTTGGAACTAAGCCATTTGGTGGGTGCTTTAGTATTGTGCTGTCTGGGTGGTGTTTCAAATCTTGTTTTATTTAAGCAACTGATCCTTCTAGGAAGTTAAATGGACTAAACCCTTCTATCTGTTAAGAGAGCTGAACCTCCCTGCTACCATGCATGAGTGGACGATGATGATCAATGGCTGAGAAACACTTTATGAATAGATAGAAGATAGGGTAGTCCTAGTGGATGCCAAGCTTTAATTTATTCCAAGAGAAAAGATTAAATTATATTTGTTACAGACAGTCCTTTGGTCATGCATATGCTCTTGATTGTAAACCCCTAATTCTCATTGCTTATATCAGTGAAAGACTAAATGAATCATGCTGTTTAACTAAGGAAAATTTTAAAACTATGGTACAAAATATACAGTTCCTTGTCTTTCATAATATCAAGCCATATTTTTCTGTTGGGCTGGTTTTCTTATAGTATTAAGATGCTGTGCTAGTTTCTTTTTGGTATTAAGGTGGTTGACCGTGATAGCAATTTTCAAAAACTATCAAAATGTTTGCTTTGTTTTTGTGGTCTGATTTACACAGTAAGTTGCCTTTTTAGCACTGGTTTTGAGACGCAGCTGTTTCTCCTCTTCAGTTACTAGTGCTGAAATTATGGGTGTAGAAGGAAAGTTCTTTTCTATAGGTGTGGTCCTGGAGTTAGAAATTCATTAATTTGCAACAGCAAAGGATTACTGGGTAGCTAGGCCTCACAGAGGTAGGTGATTGACACAGCTGCGAATTCAACAAGTTTTTAACATTGTTTTCTGCTTCTGCTTAGTGATTGTAAAACTAATCCTGAAATAATGAAATTTTCAAATTTTTTCCCTTTTCTTTGCTCCAGTTTCTTATGTCGGGTTGGGCCACAGGGTACTCATTTCGATGTGATATTGTTGACTACTCGAGGTCACCTACAGCTCTGAGAGTAAGTTGCTAAACACAAAGCTTAATTGTTATGCTACACTGACTTTATGTTTAGAAACGGTTTTTGTACAACCAAATGCACTGCAGTAGAGTGGAATGTACTAAATGGAAATAGCCTCTTGCATAATGTGGAGCATGTGAATTAACTGGAGGGGTTCATTGTTTGGTAGAAAGAAAAAGTCAATGTATTTGTTGGCTTGTTCCTCCTGGTTTTAAAATTCCTGCAGGATTAAATGTTTTGTGTTTTTAAAGAAAAAATAGACTGTATAGTTAAATATTTAGTGCGTACCTTGTGACACTGCTTACTCATCCCACTACTTTTCTTTATATACTTTATTTTTTTATGCAGCTGCTTTGTTTTATTAATGACTCTTACAATTAAACAGTTTTTGGCTTTTACTCTTGCAGATGGTACGAACTTGCTGGCTTTACTACTTTTCCAAGTTCATTGAATTATTGGACACTGTAAGTATTTGTAGCCTAATAAAAGAAGTATTGATGTTTCCTTTTCACAGTAGAACAGGTGCTGTTGGGGACTGAAGAGCATAACCTGATTTTTATTTAGCACTTCAATCTTCAATCAGTGGAATACTGTCAAGGTGTTTACCCTTACTATCTCTTCTCATCTTATTGTCCCGTTACACTGTCATTTATTGCTTGTCAGGAAAAATGTTAATAATGGAACACACCTTTAAAAACTTAGGGAGCCATGATAACTTGTCTGTTTAACAGCCGAGTACACTAACCTGTTGTGCTACGGCAGTGCTGTCTCAACACTGCAGATGAAAGAACAGCTGATCATGGTGAATCTTTTCCATGTCATCTTCAGATTTTATCTTCCACATTCAGGATATTTGCATCAGCAGCTCTGGATGCAGCATAAATTTGCCATACATACCTGCTCTGAATTCCTGTGTATATCTTGGAAGTCATGACTATAGATATGTTTGGTGTCAGGCTGGCACTCTAACCTGTTTTTTAAGTCTGAGCAGCAATGCATTGAAACAGTCTGCAGACTGCACTTGCCACCAGCAAGCGTCTGCTTCCCCTCTTCCTGAGACCAACACCTAATAGTTGGGGTTGTTCAGCCTGGAGAAGGAGAAGGCTGCGTGGAGACCTCATAAGAGCCTTCCAGTATCTGAAGGGGGCTTACCAAGGATGCTGGGGAGGGGCTCTTCATTAGAGACTGTAGTGATAGGACAAGTGGTTACAGGTTCAAACTTAAACAGGGGAAGTTTAGATTGGATATAAGGAAGAAGTTCTTTACTGTAAGGGTGGTGAGACACTGGAGTGGGTTGCCCAGGGAAGTTGTGAATGCTCCATCCCTGGTGGTGTTCAGAGCCTTGGGTGAGATGGTTTAGTGTGAGGTGTCCCTGCCCATGGCAGGTTGGTTGGAACTAGATGATCTTAAGGTCCTTCCCAGTCCTAACTCTTCTGTGATTCTGTAGTAGGGTTGGCTTAGCTATTCTCAAGCTAGCTTCAGAGTGTTGGAATCAGCTCTGATTTAACTTCTGTGGGGCACAACAGCGGTGATTCAGGAGCTGGCTCATGAGCAGTTCGGATGTTATACATCTTGTGAGTAAAGTTAGCCATCTAACTTTCATATGCAAATACTCATGATTCAGTGCTGGAAGATCTTACTGACTGAGCCAAATGGAATGGTAATGGAAGGGCCAGGAATGCTAAAACTGGAAAAGCCTGACAAGTTTAGTCCTCTATTTACCTTTACTTTACTACCCGCTGGTTAGTCTGTTCCTTTTTAATTGGTCCTGGGCCTGAAATGTCTTTTTTTTTTTTTTTTTAGTTTGTGTTGTTTGAATCTACCCAATCAGGTACTTTTGTCTCAGCAGCTTTTTGGATTTATTGCAAAAATAATTTCTTAGCTGTATTTAAGTCAGCTGTTCCCAAATGTTTTCCCTGACACACCAGACTTCTTTTCTGCTGTATTTATTTGCTTGCCATCTGATACTCCCCTTTGCATGACCTGACTTCATACAGTTTTCTTGCCCTGTCTTCCTTTTACACTTCCCTCAGTATCTGTCCTTTAAAATGTGTCCCATCAATATAACTAAGAAGACGTACATATATTCAGTTCAACTTTGCCTTTTTCCAAGGATAACCAAGTCAGTGTTCATAAAAAAAGTGCGCTTTTTCTAACCAGATATTTTCTACTGTCTGTGTCTGGTGCTAGGCCTTTGGCCAATTTTCCCAAATGGCCTTGCATTAGTAGCTCAGGGGACTTAAAATCTGATGCTTCTAGATACTTCTCAATCTAAGCAAGTCCATCTTATGCTGTCTGTTGCACACGTAAGTGATGGTTCAACGTTGGACATTCGCTTTCAAACATTGCTCTGGCTTTTGAGATGCCATAGCTGAATTTTACATACAAATTTACTTACTTTTGGAAACTAGTCTGCATCTCCTGAGCCTCAGTTTCTCCTCTTCTTCCAAGACTGTGAAGAATTGTTAAATGTATAGTAGTGGGCAGCTAGCACTAATGCATAGTTTTCTCTAAGTATGTTCAGCTTGATTATCTACTGTAACATTCTGTTCATTAAAAATCTGTTTCAGATTTTTTTTGTGCTGCGTAAGAAAAACAACCAAGTTACATTCCTGCATGTCTTTCATCATTCCATCATGCCATGGACCTGGTGGTTTGGAGTCAAATTTGCTGCAGGTAGTGGAGAGAGAGTTGAAGTTGTACATATCTTCTGATAGTAAAAGTTAACTATGCTGGACAAAAAAACATTGCAAACATTGGTGTTTTAAAATTTAGATGTCTGCAGTATTTCATGAAGCATCTGAGATCACCATAATTATTTAAATGGGTGGGGAGTACTCAGTTTTCCTGTTTGACAGCATTTTGTGCAGTGTTGTTTTTTCTTAGGGGTGTGAAGGGTGCAGAAGAGAACTTACATATGCAGAGATGAGACTGCAAAATCACAAGTGCTAAGGGAGACATATGAGGCAGGTGACTGTTGAAATGACATCAGAGCCATTTGTCCCCCTTTGTAGCTATTTTTGCTGGCTTCAGGTAGTGTAACTGGGGCGTATTTACATCCCATACTTTGACTTCCACAAAACCACAGAAACATTTTTCTGGATCTTACTTACTACAGAAACTTATTTGAATTATACTGAATTGAAAGTATTTGTCTACTCCCATCTTATCTTGACTTTCTCCTTTCCTGCTCTGTATGTCTGTGCATGCATCTTCCTATGCTGTAATATTAGTGTGCACCATTAATAAACAAAGGTTACTGTGAGAATAGCCTGAGAAGCACTGAGTGGAGAAATTCAGAGTCATTTAGCAGTCCATCTCTATGAGGCTGTGGGTTTGTTGGGTTTTTTTTTGGAGTTGCCCCTGAAAAATAGGGGGTTTGTGTGTTTCTTCACTCATGTTCTCTGGCGTGTTTGGTTTTTGTTTTTTTTTTTCCCAGAAAATAGGTGACAAATTGATGAAGAGAACCATTGCTTATTAAATCTGATCTGTCATGAATACAAAAGTAACAAGTGGAAGCAGCCTGTAGAATTGGTAGATGGACTCTTTTGAACATATCCAGTGTGCAGATTTTCCTAGTGTATAGAAGAATATGTTTCTGCTGGATTTATTGAGTTATTGTTAATAGGAAGCTGGTGTTTTGATCATGTCTTTTTAAAATGTTGCTGAGTAACTGGTATTTCAGTTCGTTAATGATGAAATTGTGAGTAGTTTTCTCAGCACACAGTTCAGTATGTTTGGAAAACACAAAAAAGCACAAACAACTTAACAGTTCCTCCTCTTCAATCTCAAAAAGTTTCCATTTATAGGTGATTAACTTTCTGCCTTTTATCTAGACAGTATCAATATACCAGCTACAGGCTTCTGATTTTGCATCAGGTTCAGATTTCCCTTATGATAATTTCACAAATACTTTCAGCAAAGTATGCAAGAACCATTTTGTCCTCTGCTAATAATAGTCATTGGTATACATGCAGAGCTGTATTTGTTCCTACAGCTGTATTGCTTATCTTTACACCAATCTTTCCAAATATTGTTCTGTTTGGTACCTTAATTTTCTTTCCAAGAATTTCAGTCCTGCTGATGATTATTGTGTATTCAGTTTCATCACTATTTGTCCTTCTAAATGGTGGCATTGATCAAGTTTTCAACCTGGTAAAAAACCAGTGCATTTGGATAGAGATTTTTTTTTTTCCCCTCTTTTTTTTTTTCTCTGATCTGATTCAAACAGGGAATTGTAAAATGGAGCTTATGTATGGTGGTGCTTTTTGAGGCATATTTTTGTACTGTTAGTTGGGTGTTCTTTCCTTTTGTTCTGATTTATCTATTTGTTTTTATTTCTCAATACTCACTGTGCAAGCCAAAAGAAGTACATATATTTGAATTGTAAGAACACTTGAATTATTTTTAAAAATATAAATAGCTAAGTTTCAAAGAAAGTTTACAATCACGGCAGGGGGAGTTATGGTCTATCAAGATGGAAGATTAGTGTGAGCTACTAAAATCACAAAAGATGTTTTCTTTTTAACTTGAATGGTACTTAATGGAAAATTGGCTTTTTTTTTTCTTTTCCCTCTCTCTAAATATCTGTTTTTCTGTCATCTTGCTTTCTTCTGATGCTCAGTATTTTCATGTTCATATTTCTCTTAAAAATACTTTGCTGGCTGCTGCTTATTGGATCATTATTACCTATAATTTCTTGTGTTCATTAAAATAACACAATTTTGAGCAGGATCATTTAACTCCATAGTTGATCCAATGGAAAAGGAAAAGTATTTCTTTACTTCCTTTGTGAAATGTTTTTATCTTACCTGTTTCAGTCATGAGTTTGCCATAAATAGGGCTACTTGGTCTTACATTTCCTTTTTGCTCTAAGAATACTTTTGTGGTGGATGATGGGTTTATGAGATCCTCACTTAGGTCAAGATTCCAAAAACTTACTATGTGACATTGTGATTCTTTCCCTGGGAACCTGGAAATCTGTGTTGGGGAATGAATTATTAGTTATCCTTCAGAGTTCTGGAAAGTTCATTGTGATGTCTAGCAAACAGGTGTAAAACAGGTGTAAAACACTGTTTCTACTATATTCTCTGAATCTCCATCATGTATATGTTTTAATAAAAAAACAATTTAAAAAGTGAACCAAAAGAACAAAAAATTCCACTAAAATCTTTTACAGATAATTCAATCACCTTGGTTTTCTTGCTGTTTTGGAAATGCTCAGAAACTGATACAATCCCACAGAATTGGTGTCAACTCAGTTCAAGTTAAATACCTTGTGGGTTAATCAAAGCCTTTAGGGTTTGTGGTACCTTGTTTTTCTACTCCAAAACAGAGCACTAGGACCTGAGGTAGCTTTTTAAATACCTGATGCAATAATACTGGTACTGTGTTTGTTTTTATTGCAGGTGGTTTGGGAACATTTCATGCACTGCTAAACTGTATTGTCCATGTTGTCATGTACACGTATTATGGAATCTGTTCTTTGGGACCAGCCTATTATAAATATTTGTGGTGGAAAAAATACATGACCACTATGCAACTTGTGAGTAACTTGTTTGAATAAACACCTCTCAAAGCTGATTGTAGCTAACACAGAATTAATGCAGTACATTTGTACTTTAGTTATGTTCATGTGTGTAGCTTACAATTGGTACAAGGTTTACCTGTGTTTTGAGTGAAACAAAAGTGAGCTCTCCTCAGTTATATACTTAAATATGCTGACTTCAGTATTCACTATAATCACAGATTTAGACACATGAGCTTTTTAGGTGTGCAGTGCTTGGTAAATATATTTACAAAACTCATTGCCTGTATGAAAATGATTAGAACGTAGTTTACACCAAGGAAACAAAACTGATGTGCAGACTACATATGGCTAGTAGTAACAAAAGGGAAAAAGAAGTATTTCTTAAGAATTCCATGTCTGTTCTTTTATAGAAAATGTGTGATTAGAGAACTTGCTTCTCTTTAACTCAGAGCATTAAAACTCTCCCTTTCAGTAATTACAGTAAGTGTTTTATTAGCCTTAGATCACTTTCAGAAGGTTACCACTCTGGGTGCTTTTTCATGCCTGGCCTTTTTAATAGCTGAATTTTCAAAATTCAGCTTCCAGCTAAACAATTAGTTTGGCCCGAGCAAGGATGCTGATGGAGGAGGGAAAGGAGCAGGTAGAAACAGTCATGGCTGGCTGCTTGCACCAGGTCTGGTGGTAATAGAATAGTTAATGTAACCAGGTGAAATTGAACAATTAAGCTTGAATATTTATAGCTTAGTCTTTTTGTCTTGGAAGAACTACCAGTGGATTATTAACTTTGAGTTCATGTGGAAACTTTTATTTGTAATTGTCCATTAAATTGTTCTTTGGGACCTGAAGAATTCAGTGTCGCATGGTAGTATGTGGGCAAGGTGGGAATTCATGTTCTGAAATCCTGTAATTATTGTCTTTTCATGTGTTTGTTTTTTTGGTCAGGTGGGTTTTTTCTGGCTAATTTTTCTAAAGGAGCCTCCCATTCTCAAGTAGTCAAACGCTATCTCCCATCTCTTGTTTTCAGAACTGGCCAGGGCAGACTCCCATTCTCCTAGTATGGGTTTCTCAGTGCTGCTTATAATTCAGTTTGTCGCAGGACTTCTCTTTCTTTTCTATATGGAAGTGTTTTTCAGTGAAGTAACATTTGGAAGAGGGGCTTTAAAGGTTCATCTCAGTCAGTTTTAAAAAGAGCTCTCCCCCAAGGCATTCTGTTCTTCCTTAGGCAAGTTGTGTTTCTGTAGTAAGGCTGATATTTATTTAAAAAGTATTTATTTTCTTCACCTTTTTCCCCAGGTCCAGTTTGTTTTGATTACAGGCCATATTGCACAAATCTACTTCATGGATGATTGTCCATACCAGTATCCAATTTTCATGTTTATTATCTGGGTGTATGGCTCTTTGTTTTTGGTCTTGTTTCTCCACTTCTGGTACCACGCTTACACAAAGGGAAAACGACTACCAAAAATGGCGAAAAATGGGATCAGCAAAGATCAGTGAAACACACTCTCATCTCTAACATCAAGAAAGTGTATTCGTCAAAGTAGAAACTGCTTGACAATCGAGATACTTAGGTGCACACACTACATGGTGTATATTTTGTATGTTTTCGTCCAAAACAGAATTTGTATTTTTACCATAAGTTATTTGGGATTCAGAATTTGGGGGATGAGGAAAGCAGTGAGGATCTCTAAAGGATTTTTTTCAACATCTTGTTCATGTCTGTTGTGTAAGAAATCAATGGATAGATGATCTCTAGAAGATGCTTGAAAATAACAATGTTCACTGGGGAAACTAAAATGTGTATGACGAGTACTGAGTACTTTGAACACTGAGAGAAAAATATTGCTTCACCTTAAATGTTGTGAGTTGCTGAGACTGTAAGCTGCTTTTTATTAAAAGAATGAACCTTCAGTAAGTACCTTTTACAGAATCTCAAGCTTATTATTAATAAAGTTAATACATAAACATTGCTACATCTGTTTACAAACTGTATAACTTTAAAGGAAGGATTGTATGCTAATCTGTCAAGGTATCGCGTTTCATTTGAAGATCATAGATTTTTGGATATACTGTCTAAGGTAACTTAATTCACTTAATGTTGTACTCACAAATATATTGTTCTGAATATTGGAAACCTGCTGATTTGAAGATTATCTGAACTGTCTTATAGTGTGATAATCAAAAAATCTTACTGACTTGTTCACCAAAGTAGCCTAATGTACTTACTATTCAGTGTATCTACGGATATATTTTGATATTGGTAGCTTAGGCTGTTTAGGGAGGAAAATAATCTTGTCATTCAGTAGCTAGAATCTTAGTTGTCGAGTAAGTTTAAAAAAAGTACTTTTGATTGAAGGCTGAGTATCACATAGCATGATTTGTACTGTGTCTACTTTTTTCCATTTCCATTATCTATTGAAATACATGCCTACAAAGATTTTTGCTGGTCTTTTTTTTTTTTGTTTTGTTATTGTTTGGTTTTAACCACTCAAGGTTAAAGTTTCTCTATTAATAGCACCAGTTACCTTGTCCAGAACAGGGCAAAAACGTATGTGCCATTCTTTGGGCTACTGAGAGTGAGACAGGCAGTGGTGGCTGGGCACGACTCCAGTCTCTGTGGAATTAACCAGTATGTTGCTTTCCATGCTTAAGCAGCTTGTCAGGGTCACACATGTATGGAAATCAAAGGACCTAGCTATTTGTATTCAAGTTGCATTTGTACTGTATAAATTTATTAAGGAATTGGTGCGTGCAACAGACCTGCAAATGTGGAGTTGAAGGTGTTCAATGTTATCCTTAAAAGTACTGTTTTCTATTATGTTCACTAAAAACGGAGAAGTTTGTTCTGTGCTTGTTCTATCTGTGGAGTATTCGAACACCCAAAACTTTGGGTCAGGTTTTAATTACCTATGTGTTGTACAATTCCAAGAAAGTCAGTTTTGTTACCTGGATACTTTTATGGGGATACTGCCATTTATGGTGCACTGTTAATGCTAAAAGGATTTAAATTTTATCTTGGACATGAGTTGCAAATGATTTATTATGAGATTATATACAAGTTGTCTTTATAAAACAAATAAAAAATAATTTATATTTTAGCTTTCCAGTATTTAATCACTGTAGCTATCAGCTGCCATGGCAGGTTGAAATTAGATCCCAGAAAGGATTTGGATAGCAGATGTATATTTTGACCCCTGAATTTTAGATGCTTGATCCCAGAATTCTCAGTGCAGAGTTTAGGCTCCCTGTCAGTGCATGCAAAGAGGTGCTGTAGCACAGAATCCAAATCAGCTAGGGTGCTGATCAGGGGCCGTACATGTTTTCAATGGCAAATGCCATAATTGACTCAAAGTCTCAAAGCCTACCACCCTCCAGCCTGTGTATATGCCTGTGGCTTCCAAAGTAGGGAGTGATCTTAGGATGGAGACCTATTGCTGTTTTTTAAAGCAGCCTGAAAGGATTTTCCTGATGTATTTTTAAAGCTTGAAAGCTGCTTTTTTAAATATAATTTGTTAACTCTGTACTAATGACGAAAGTGGGACAGTTTGGTTCCTTTAGGCCTTGAGCCTGTGGGTTCAAACATACTTGGGAAATGCAGGGCTTTCAACTGAAACGCTGTAATAGCTGCTCTGCACTGTAACATGGATGATGCTCCACTGCTCGTTCTGGGGGTGTGGTGGGTTGACCCTGGCTGGGTGCCAGCTGCCCACCAAAGCCACTTTATCACTCCCTCAGCTGGACAGGGGGAGAAATATAATGAAAGGCTTATGGATGGAGACAAGGAAGGGAGAGATGGGGAGATCACTCAGCAGGTAACCGTCATGGGCAAAATAGGCTTGACCTGGGGAAATCAGTTGGATTTGAGTGGTAATAAATTCGAATAATGAGAAATAAAACCAAATCTTAAAATACCTTTCCTCACCTCTCCCTTCTTCCTGGACTTCACTTTACTCCCAATTTGTTCTACCTCCTCTCCCCGACAGTAGGAGGATGAGGAATGGGACTGTGATCAGTTCATCACACAGGAGAGGGCTCCTCACACTCTTCCCCTGCTCCACTGTGGGGTTCATCCCACAGGGATCAGTCCTCCATGAAATTGCCAGTCCTTCCCACAGGCTCCAGCTCTTCATAAACTGCTCCAGCGTGGGTCCCCTCCATGAGTGCTGTCCTTCAGGAGCAGAGTGCTCCATTGTGGGTCCCTTCCCATAGGGTGCAGCCCTTCAGGAGCAGACTGCTCCAGTGTGGGTCCCTTCCATGGGGTCACAATTCCAGTGTGGGCTCCTCTATCCAGGGGGCCACAGCTCCCGCCAGGAGCCTGCTCTAGCACAGGCTTCCCACAGGGTTGCAGCCTCCTTTGGCCATCCCTCTATCCTGGCATAGGGTCCCCATGGTGCAGGTGGAGATCTGCTCCTCCATGGGCTGCAGGGGCACAGCTGCCTCACCATGGGCTGCACCACGGTGCTGCAGAGGAATCTCTGCTCTGGCACTGGAGCACCTCCGCACCTCCTCCCCTCAAGATCTTGCCAGGCAAACCGAATACAAGAGGGAAGCAGGCATTTCTTCTTATTCTTACAGATGATTCCTCCCACGCTGCCAGGGGAAGTCCTAATTCTGGTCTCTGATTTTACAGTTTTCCACCCCTCTTCCACCCCTCATTGCTACAGGGAGGAGTGCATCCTGCAGCTGGGTGTGGGGGGCCGGATGTGCTGTTTGGGACCTAGGTCTGTAACTGATTGCTCAGGATCACTGGGGCTTAAGTAGAAGCTGAAAGTAAACACAGTCAAAAGTAAGGATCTCTGCGCATGGGCAGGTGCTGAACAGAAAAGAGCCAGGAAAAGCTGCTGAGTCCAGCAGTTGTACAATTAGCCAACTGCCTCCGAAGGCAATTGTCTGAGATTAAGAATAATCAGGAGCAGAAACTGGAGATGCTGATCATTCTGTGGGCTGTCAGCAAGTGCCATTTCAGATTCCTACTGCGTAATTTCTTGCACGCTGGTTTAGTTTTCTGTGAGTTATGAAGCATTTAGAGAAAGAGAGTTGTTTCATTGAGTTGCATGGATGCATTGTTTCAGGGAGCTGTGTGGATGTATCCTAAAAGGTTGCATGTAGTGTAACTATGTAACTGTGCTAGTATATCAATACAGAATGGTACTGCACTCCCCTCTGATGTTAGTAAACACACAATGTTGCAGTCGGTGAGAATAGCAGTCTTGATGTGGATAGTCACATTTTTTCCCCTATCTAACAGTTGTGCACCTTGCATGCAGAATCGTGATATACATTTGAGTATGCTAGAAAGAGGGGTGCAACAGTCAGCAGAATCGTTAATGTTATAGTGAACGTTAATGACAGTGAGGGGAAGTGGTTTGAAATATTGTATGCCCTGGATTTGGTGGAGGAGAAACACTGCTCTTGCTAGCTACTCCTCTCTTAATAAATTGAGTCCTGTAAATTGGGGTGGTTTTCTTTCTTTTATTTGTGTTCCAAATTAACGAAAAGTCTGTATTCTCTGTGTCCAGGTGGCAATTCACCAGGAAGTATTTCGCTGTCGTGGTTTGACTGCTTTCCAAACCCAAGCCCCTGTTCCGAGCCACTTACCGGCCGAGGAAGTGCAAACAACAGAGGGCAGTTAATGTTCGTTTAACATGCAACATCCCTCCTGGGAAGCCAAAGAGACCTAAGCAGACGCATTGCCCCGCAGGGGCCGCTCCCGCCCCGTCTGGCCGACGGGAGCCGTGTTTCTTCCCGGTCCCACCCCTGGCGCTGCTTGCGGTCCCCCAGCCGCGGAGCGGGGGCGGGCTGCTGGCGGGAGGCTGCGGCGGGCAGAGCCCTGGGGACGGTAGCGGGCACAGGGGGCGGGCCTGATCCCGGCGAAGGCGCGGCCCGGGACGAGCGGGTCCCCGCCCCACCGATAACGGGTAGTGCGGGCGCGTCACGTGCCGCAGTCGCCATCCAATAGGTGAGGGCGGCGTCTCTCGGGCGCGGATTCAAACGGTGGGCGCTGTGCGCGCGGCTGTCTGTTTCCGTGGAGACGGCGAGGCCCGGCCGCGTCCATGGAGCCGCAGCTCGTCGGCCCCGGGCCCTACCGCGCCACCCGCCTGGTGAGTGCTCCCCGTCCCCGGTGTGGCCTGTTGTGCAGCATTATCTCGTCCTTGTGGGCCTCCATGCCCGACGGTGGCTCTCTAGAGCCTTCTGGGTACGGGTCCGCTGCCTTGATGCAGTCTGGCCGCCTGGGCCTGGACCGCTGGCTGGGTCTCTGAGGGCTCAGCGCCGCAAGCCTTAGCAGGCCCTGGGCCTGTCCCGGGTAGCCAAGGCCTATTTCGGGTGGCCGGGACTCGGCGGGGTAGTTCCCAGCCGCCCTCCGGGTGCTGGTACTCCTCACGCGGTGTCTGTATGGGGTGTCTGTGGAGCGGCCGCAGCACCCGGCAGAAGGGAGCGTTAGTCCGGCTTTTTGTCAAGTTAAAAGCCGCAGGGACGTTAAAGCTGTACCTGCACAGCCATAGGCAGCATGGGGCTCTAACATCTCTCAGTTTTCTCAATCTGGTGTTTGCTCTCAGGTCTCACTCTTTAAATCACAGCTTTAGGTTTCAGTGTGCTTGTAAATGCAGATGATAAAAAATTTTGTGTAGTTCTGCTTTCATATCTGGTTGTATCCCCACCTTGCTTTGCACGACTCAGTGCTTCTAGAA